AGCCACTCAACTAAGTGGAAATAATACAACGTAAAGAATACAGAGGATAATTTTGTTTACATATTTATGAAAATAAAATAACATAAATTATAAAATAACATAAAATACATAAAAGTAAATTTACTTTTCTGAGAATGTTTAGGCCAGCAGAGAAGGCCTTGCTGGCCCTCAGGGTCCGCCACTGGGTTTTCTTGTTCCCCACCGCCTGCCGACTCGAAATGCCTGCAATAATCTCAATTGACCACTAGAGCTCACTGTTCTTAAACTTTTAGCACACATAGGCTGCAAGATGCAAACGGATACAGGAAAGAGAGTCATTTAATAATGATGTCACACTCCCTTTTGTTTCCCAAAGTATAAATCATCAAGTCCTCAAGTCAACAGCAGAGGAGCACTCGGATGTTTATTTGGACTTGATCCACTTTTGTTGTCACATTTTGACAAGGTGACATCTTATGATTAACGTGCTACTTTTCCTCCCTCCTCGATATCCCAAAATGCACATCCAAGTGTGGGAAAACAGCTGCATTCAGCTCAGCCTCCTTCAGGGAAGTGTCGTTAAAGAGTCAGCATGGATGTACTTGGATTTAATCCCGTAGTACGAAGCACCACGCCCTCTTACAGACCCCCGCCTCAACCCCACACCTACCCCTTTTGGAGTCAATAAATCCATACAGTAATAGTGCTGACTATGGATGGGAAGGCTGGCTAAAACAGGAAAAATGACCCTGCCCATATGTGCTGCCTGTTTGAGGTCTAAAATAAGCTCTCTCCTTGAGATGATGCTCTGACTTCTAATGAGGCTTCACATCAGGATACTGCTATCATGCGCCATGTGGAGCAGGTCTTTCCTCACATCCAAGATTGCTCTGTTCTGTCCTGTGGCCTACTATAGCCTTTTTCATCAAAAAATGTGGTGTTACCTCCCAAGTCTCAATTCGACCTGTATTTCAAAGAGTAATCCACAACCGATAGCACTTTGTTGAAATCAAGAAGGTAATGGCACGATAATTGTTTGATTAAATATGTATTAATTAAATCGTATGTGCTTTTACTTACACTGTACATTGCTTACTTAGTGTATGTAAAAAACAAACATTAGTTATTTATGTTTACATTCAGGTATTTAATCTTTTTTTTGTAAGAACATGTAACACAGTACAGCCAATTTCCCATTCAATTTATCACTAGTAAATGTTGAAAGTAACATATTTGAGTTGAGTTTTTCTGTAAAAGAAAATATTAAACAGCATAATTTATTCATAAGGAATTGTTAACGTACACTAAAATTATTAAACTACAGAAAACTGAAGTACCTAATACATAAAATGTAGTACAATACATTGATAAATAATTGTTAAAATATCCATCCACTGATCCTCATGCTTATCAAGCGCTCACACTCCCAATCACACCTTGGGACACTCTAGAGTGTTTCATTAACCAGTTTTTGTAATGTGGGAGGAAACCGGAGTACCCGGAGAAAACCCACGCAGGGACGGGGGAGGACATGTAAACTCCACATAGGAAGGCCGCAGCCTGGAATCGAACCCCTGACCTCTGCACTGTGAGGCGGACATGCTAACTGTGCTCTTCGTGCCACTCATTATTAAAATGCAACAAAATAATTTAATCATACATTTGTTTTAATTATGTAAATTGTTAAAATACCCTAAAAGTAATCATATTTAATTGAATCAAATGATTTTTCTTCTTAATTTAATTGTACATTTCAATTTTAAAATATTAAATATGTACTATGTGTAATGTGAATTTTTATACTATATATATATATATATATATACTGTATATACAATTCCATTAAAAAAAAAAGCATATATTTTTCAAAATATCTATTATTTGGAAAATAAATAAATAAATGAGCATTACGAAAGCTGTTTTCATGACCACAGAACGGCATTAGTTTTTTTGACATTCCAGATCAGAGACGTAGCAGTGACAGCAAAAGAGGGTAAAATATATGATCATAACCATAGAACAGTCTGCCTGTGGTGTGGCGATCAATACAAGATGACGAAAGGGACAAATAGTCACCGTCACATAAAAAGCAGAAGACTGGAATGTGATGAACATCTCTTTCCAAGCATGGCGTCTGACTCCTTCACATTTTTTGCTGAGTACACAACTTTTTGGGGATGCATGAAGTCAACAATTAATCCTCCCTCTCTTTGCTCCCCCTCTACACTCAGTGAAGGTGAGAACCTAACTAAAGTACAAATTTTAATTTACTATAACATAGTTGGGAAAGTTAAAAATGTCCTTTAAAACACCATCTGGATTGTTGGAAAAAATGTTTTATGCGGGCCACAGCGCATCTCACAAGCGTGGTTTGTGTGGGAGCAAACTCCCAAGTGGATTCATTGGTTCTCGCTCTCCAAGTCGTCTTACACGGAATTTTCCCACACAGTCTGAAAGGGGATTTTTTTTTAATTCAATTCAACTTTTTTTTACATTTTAGAATAAGATATACACCCACCCCACCAGTAAAAAAAATAGAAATAGAATGATTACAGAAAAATACAACAGTACAGTTTGATTTTTTTGAAGCCTCCTACGGGCTATCACTCTGTTTTCGTCTCATCGAACAGCGCAAAGTGTGAAGGTAACTTGCGACGAGCACGTTAATCCTCTTCTAATATGTCACAAATGTGACTGTTTATTGCATGCAACAGTTGAGGTGACAGCTGCACACAGGTGGTCCACAACTGCAGCTGACAACACACGGCTGGCATGTAAACTCGTTTCAAAAGTCAACAACGTGTGGATAGACCTTTCCCACCGTTTTGTCTTCTCACAGGAACTGCAAAACGTCCAACTTTTTGTGGCTCATTGTGGACTCTCTAATCTAGTCCAGATTGTCCCTCCATCGTATGTGCGTGTGCGTGGATGCGTGCGCGCTACTTCCTGTTCACCGTTTCTTAGTTACTGGACAGTATAAACATAGATATTTTTTTGACTGATGGGTGGGACATTCCAGTTAATTTTGGATAGAATCCACCAACTGATTATGTGAAGGAATTATCTCAATTAAAACAAAATCCCAATCTTGTTTCATGGTGTGTATGCTGCGTCAGAATGATACAGATTATTTAATTGCCAGCAGTTTTCGTGTATCCTTTTTCTGTTTTGTTTGTTTTGTTCCTGGATCATTTTGGAATCGAATGTTGAACAAACTTAAAACACAAATAATTCTCACATCTATCATAGGCTGATATCGGTTCCATCTTAACTGTTAGCCTAGAGTGAATAAGTGGCATGGAAAATGGATGAATCGGAAAAAAATTAAATGTAAGTGCTTTCAAGTTTCGTATTTTATTTCATTCTATATTTAATTATTCTTTTACGAAAGAAATCTGTTACCTTGATACGCTAACAATAAAACATTCTTTTTAAAGTCGATTACATTACAGATGAATGTTAATTAAATCAAAAACAGTTTGATTTATTGGCATTATATTTATTTATTTGGTTACGGTATGTTTTTATAAAGTCTAATATTATATAGTGCTATTTTTCTCATGAGTGTGCTATTTTTCTTGTGAAATTTCTCACTCATTTTAATGTGCATGGTCCTGGAATAAATCTCAAAGGCAGGCGCCACAATACAGTCTAAAGCCCAGCCGTGATCAAGCATGGAACTACAATTAAAAATATCATCATCGCAATGAAGAAGAAAAACATGAAACACTGCTGACCTACAGGTACTATTACAAAAAATATGACGAAGAAATGTTTGACATTTCAATTAAAAACAAACAAATTAAAATAAGTTTTAAAACGCCTCAAGTACACATACATTTCCCGACAGTCCAACTGCGTCTTTCCATGCATTTCAATGAGTGGCATCTAAAAACTGAAGTCTTTCGGACTGTGTGAACCCAGCAGATAAATAAAACTGTCTGGTGTATTTTTATATATTTATTTTTTCCTCACCCACTCTGTCTCTATTCAATAGCTCCCAAGTACCTTGACAACCTTGCCTGGTATTTTGGCAGCGGTCCTTTGAGTGTTGCTGTCAGCTGAGAACGTGCGTGTGTGTTCGCGCGTGTGTGTGTGTGTGTGTGTGTGTGTGTGTGTGTGTGTGTGTGTGTGTGCTGAAAAACAAGTATTAGACACAAATGATTTTATGAGCAAGATTGGGTTATCCTGTTTGATGAAAAGGTACACAAAATTCAAGCATATCTCCTCTTTCAATCCAGGTTCGCAAGAGCCCAAGCATACAGTAAGTCTCGGAAAGACTTATCTTGTGAGCAGTGTGTTTCAGGGTTATTGTTCCTCCCAAAACTGCTTGGCAAACAGTTGAAGCTGACAGTTGAAAGTAACCATGCCAAATAGAGGGACAACTGCTTGTGTTGAGCGTTTTTCTAACGTGTCATTTACCACAATAAAATCACAAGGAGAGGAGTTAACGATTAGAATGTACTTAGCATGTAAGCTAACTAATAGTCCAACTTCTTTTTCTTTGTATTTTCCAGTCTTCTGTGGCACGACCCTCAGTTGGTGTAAGACACTCGCAATCGGGATATTTCGCGTGCGTGTGTGTGTGTTGTGCTGTGTTAGACGCCTCGAGTACATCACATACTTTGACGAGGAGGAAGCAACCATTTAACACTGTTTTTCCTTGTCATGTGTGGGGTCCCTAATATTTTAAAAAATGATGGTTCAAAATTGGTGTGTGTGTACCTGAAATCACAGGCAGTGGTAAGTTCTGCGCCTCCACCCAGAGCTCTCCCTTCCACAAGGGCAACGGAGATCAGAGGCAGCCTGCACTGGGAACATCACATAGAGTATTGTGCTCCAAGTACATAAAACCGCATAAGATTTAATGATGCGGCATAAAAATGGCCCCTTGCCTGAGTAGTCTTGTCAGAACATTCTGCATAAACATACACATCTCCATGCCATCCTACAAGACAAAAGCAACATCACTTCAGGAGACAATAATTTACATTCACAATCAAATAACTAGTGGGAGTTTATCAAGAGCCCCTGTTACACAGTAGCAAACTATTTCCACATGAAAAGCAATACAGGTAATCTATTCTGGATGACCAAGCAGCTGAATAGGACACGTAAAAAATTTTACAAACAAAAATAAAAATGAATACGTGTTCAGAATAATTTTTCACACTTCCAAAAATTTGCTGACTTTGATCGCAAGAGAAGTACTCTGCTTAAGGGTGTATGCTTCAGAGCTGCAAACTTTTAGAGTCATACTTGGGGTTTGGATAATTGTTTGAAAGCATTGAGGTCCAATCCGGAACAGAACGTTCCCGCAGCACCCTGGAGTATGAGGCCTTTTCCATCGGCCCACTCTTCCAGGAGGCTCACCTTTTCCTCCAACTGCACCATCATGGTACCTGGGATAGAACAGCACAATTCCCAACCATTACTGAACTAAGGAACACATTTTACATTCGAAAAATCTCATGACACACCACCAAACCTATTTGTCAAAAAGAAAAAAAAGGTAGATCCGCCGGTTTTAATGGTGTCATTTCTCAACTTAACTGAAAGAGCATTTAATCGTCTCTGCCTGTCACTATACGCTGCTGGCATGAATAGATGAATAGAGATTTGTAATTCATGATTTTGGACCAATGAAATGAAATGCGATACTTTCCCACAGCATACCAGTTGATCACTTATGGCACACTAATGTGCCAATGGCAGACTAGGTGGGATTTTCTAGTTTACATGTACGGTAATAGCAAAGAGAAAAGACATGTACAGAGAGTATATCCGGAGTGTTTTTTCATCAAACTTAACCGGTAAAGGCATTCATGTGGGATGGGTTGTTGATTTTGAGGACAGCAATGCCAGACTCCTGTTTGGAAAGATCAATGGAACCTCCAGGGAAGCCCAGCAGCTTGGCCTTTGTTTCCTCCTGGTCAAAATCCATCTCGGTGTAAACTCTGCCACCCATCTGTCTCTGCCACATCCTTGAGAATATATGGCATGTTAAGTCACATTAAACCAATATGCAGATATTTGTCTTCTGCATGGAATAACAAATGTCAATTGAAGACCACTCTGACAATGTCAAATTGAGCATCACTATTTTTGTCAAGGCATTTTTTTGTTGTTGTAATTGCATCTCATTGACTTGACATTGAAGCTTTTGACATTAGAGTGTATTCGACAGAAAAAAAAGTCTCTAAGGATACCTGGCCCAGCTGCCACACACATGGCTCTCCCTCAGGAAATGACGCCTCACTGCATGGATAACCATGATCCTTCAGCATGGACATGAAGCAAAGGCATAATGTTTACATTTACATTGATGGATTTGGCCAAACGACCATGAAAAACAACAATTTCGTTGCTCTCTCTCTCTCTCTCTCTCTATATATATATATATATATATATACTGTATATACAATTCCATTAAAAAAAAAAGCATATATTTTTCAAAATATCTATTATTTGGAAAATAAATAAATAAATGAGCATTACGAAAGCTGTTTTCATGACCACAGAACGGCATTAGTTTTTTTGACATTCCAGATCAGAGACGTAGCAGTGACAGCAAAAGAGGGTAAAATATATGATCATAACCATAGAACAGTCTGCCTGTGGTGTGGCGATCAATACAAGATGACGAAAGGGACAAATAGTCACCGTCACATAAAAAGCAGAAGACTGGAATGTGATGAACATCTCTTTCCAAGCATGGCGTCTGACTCCTTCACATTTTTTGCTGAGTACACAACTTTTTGGGGATGCATGAAGTCAACAATTAATCCTCCCTCTCTTTGCTCCCCCTCTACACTCAGTGAAGGTGAGAACCTAACTAAAGTACAAATTTTAATTTACTATAACATAGTTGGGAAAGTTAAAAATGTCCTTTAAAACACCATCTGGATTGTTGGAAAAAATGTTTTATGCGGGCCACAGCGCATCTCACAAGCGTGGTTTGTGTGGGAGCAAACTCCCAAGTGGATTCATTGGTTCTCGCTCTCCAAGTCGTCTTACACGGAATTTTCCCACACAGTCTGAAAGGGGATTTTTTTTTAATTCAATTCAACTTTTTTTTACATTTTAGAATAAGATATACACCCACCCCACCAGTAAAAAAAATAGAAATAGAATGATTACAGAAAAATACAACAGTACAGTTTGATTTTTTTGAAGCCTCCTACGGGCTATCACTCTGTTTTCGTCTCATCGAACAGCGCAAAGTGTGAAGGTAACTTGCGACGAGCACGTTAATCCTCTTCTAATATGTCACAAATGTGACTGTTTATTGCATGCAACAGTTGAGGTGACAGCTGCACACAGGTGGTCCACAACTGCAGCTGACAACACACGGCTGGCATGTAAACTCGTTTCAAAAGTCAACAACGTGTGGATAGACCTTTCCCACCGTTTTGTCTTCTCACAGGAACTGCAAAACGTCCAACTTTTTGTGGCTCATTGTGGACTCTCTAATCTAGTCCAGATTGTCCCTCCATCGTATGTGCGTGTGCGTGGATGCGTGCGCGCTACTTCCTGTTCACCGTTTCTTAGTTACTGGACAGTATAAACATAGATATTTTTTTGACTGATGGGTGGGACATTCCAGTTAATTTTGGATAGAATCCACCAACTGATTATGTGAAGGAATTATCTCAATTAAAACAAAATCCCAATCTTGTTTCATGGTGTGTATGCTGCGTCAGAATGATACAGATTATTTAATTGCCAGCAGTTTTCGTGTATCCTTTTTCTGTTTTGTTTGTTTTGTTCCTGGATCATTTTGGAATCGAATGTTGAACAAACTTAAAACACAAATAATTCTCACATCTATCATAGGCTGATATCGGTTCCATCTTAACTGTTAGCCTAGAGTGAATAAGTGGCATGGAAAATGGATGAATCGGAAAAAAATTAAATGTAAGTGCTTTCAAGTTTCGTATTTTATTTCATTCTATATTTAATTATTCTTTTACGAAAGAAATCTGTTACCTTGATACGCTAACAATAAAACATTCTTTTTAAAGTCGATTACATTACAGATGAATGTTAATTAAATCAAAAACAGTTTGATTTATTGGCATTATATTTATTTATTTGGTTACGGTATGTTTTTATAAAGTCTAATATTATATAGTGCTATTTTTCTCATGAGTGTGCTATTTTTCTTGTGAAATTTCTCACTCATTTTAATGTGCATGGTCCTGGAATAAATCTCAAAGGCAGGCGCCACAATACAGTCTAAAGCCCAGCCGTGATCAAGCATGGAACTACAATTAAAAATATCATCATCGCAATGAAGAAGAAAAACATGAAACACTGCTGACCTACAGGTACTATTACAAAAAATATGACGAAGAAATGTTTGACATTTCAATTAAAAACAAACAAATTAAAATAAGTTTTAAAACGCCTCAAGTACACATACATTTCCCGACAGTCCAACTGCGTCTTTCCATGCATTTCAATGAGTGGCATCTAAAAACTGAAGTCTTTCGGACTGTGTGAACCCAGCAGATAAATAAAACTGTCTGGTGTATTTTTATATATTTATTTTTTCCTCACCCACTCTGTCTCTATTCAATAGCTCCCAAGTACCTTGACAACCTTGCCTGGTATTTTGGCAGCGGTCCTTTGAGTGTTGCTGTCAGCTGAGAACGTGCGTGTGTGTTCGCGCGTGTGTGTGTGTGTGTGTGTGTGTGTGTGTGTGTGTGTGTGTGTGTGTGTGTGTGTGTGTGTGTGTGTGTGTGTAAGGATGGAGGGGGGAGGAGTGAGTGGGGCTATTCAAGGCACTTGTCCTCCCTCGTCTCCCCCGGGTGCACAGAGGAGCAGGAGAGGGGAGGAGGCGCGGACTGCACACTTGCACTCTGGTAGCCAACGGGAGCACATTGAGCCCAGGCTGCCACCCCCCCCGCTTCACAGACTGCACCAAAAAGCCACAACAAGAGGATTTCCCGCCGCAAGAGCAGGATTTCCTCCTCGGAATCACTTGGAGATCTTCTTCGAATTCTGCTTTTGAAGCTTCAGCATGGCAGAAGCGGCCCTGGGTGGACACCTGAGGGCCAGGATGGGTCTCCTGTGGGCTCTGCTGACTCTCCTCAACCACGTGGGGGCTTTCAACCTGGATACTACTCACACGCTGCACAAGCTGGGGGACCGCGGGACCTTTTTTGGTTTCTCTCTCGCGCTACATCAGCAGCTCACCCCAGAACCTCAGAGCTGGTGAGTTTGCAACTTCTGTGTGCACCTGTTCCAATCCTGTAGGGAAACATTTTGCCTCTTCCCTTTCACCAGTTATCACAAAAAGTGTTTTACATAGTTAAAATACAGTCGCAAACATCCATCAAGCCATCTATTTTCCAATCCGTGGATCCTCACAAGGGTCACATGCGTTTTGCAGCCTAATCCCAGCTGTCTTCAGGCAATAGGCGGGGTACACTCTGAACTGGTTGCCAGCCAATCGCAGGGCACACATAGAGAACAACCATCCGCGCTCACGATCACATCTAGGGACAATTTAGAGAGTTCCATTGCTTTAGAGTGCTAACCAGTCGACCGCCGGGCCGCCCCATTCACAAACATTATACATTTAATCTATAAAAGCACATTGGACCCTTGAAATTTGAGTGACACGAGTTTCATGAGATATTCACCATCTTGTGGCTGCTTGTTTATTTTTCGTTTTTTGCTTTGACTTGCGGAAAAAAAAGAACCCAACTGAATTCAGCACATTTCCTGATAGTGAACAAAAAGATAATTAATGCCACTCCTAGTTAAACTTGCTGTCAAACTAAACATCAAATGAAGAGAAATACATGCTGTGTGCTCGACTGGGTCTTAGGGATTGACCGAAGTTGATTTTTTTTTAGGCTGATACTAATTGGCTGAGTAAAATGCTTATAACTGATGAATGGTGTGATTAATTAAAAAAAATATATCATAAATAAAATGACTTATTTTTTTGGTGCCAGCAATAAAGATATGAATTACAGGCAAAACATTTGACTGAATACTTTGTCATTCAGCATTTGTTCAACTTTAGAGCAGAAAGAAACATTGGCAAAAAATGGCCAATGTTTTTCAGATTTTTTTGGGAGGTGGGTGGAATGTTTACATGTGATTATCTTTATCTTCTGGTTTCATGTGTTCACATGCAAAAAAAAAAAGGCAAAAAAATCTTCATCTTTCTGCCAATTTTAAATAAAATAAAAAACTTTTAAAATTTAAAAAAATAAAATAATATTGGCAGATTAAATAGGCTGGCCGATTAATCAGTCAGGCCTCACTTGGTAGAGCAGACCAGTGTTTCCCAATGTTTAATTAAGCCATGGAAAAATATTTTACATTAAAAAAAAACAACAAAAAAAAACAAAGGTATGTACTGTATATGACTTAAGATGATCTTATCTCACGTTACTCACACATTAATCGAAGAAAACCATAAAGCTATCATTCTGACGTATGCATGGCAACAGGTGGTTATGCAGTTTGTGTCACTATATGTCTCTGGCATAGATGAATCAACACGGATGCATTACTTGGAGTAAATCAATAATTTTCAGAACAATGAAGTGAAACTGGATAGTTTACCAGGTAGTGCGCAGTAATTGGGAATCACTGTGCAGTGGACCCCTGTTATTCACAAGGGCTAGGCACACCCATTATAAAAGCATTGTATATTACCCTCAAAAAGTAGTTGTGAAAAATCTGATCAACCATCATGAAGCATTTTCCAAAGGGGTCTACTGTACTCGAAAGAGGGATATTGTTTAAGAGCCAAATTTGTGAGTTCGGGCGGATCTTGGCAGCCAAGTTTGATTACTCTCCATGGAATGTAGAACTCTCGCCACTTGGCCCCAAAAACTTAAATATTCACCAACACTCTGTTTCTGGGGAGATTCGTACATCGTGTTGCATACTTTCTTGCTGCAACACCAAGTGGAGAATAAAAATTCTGCCACTGGGATTGGTGTTGTCGCATCGTTGTGCCCAACGATTGTCGGGATACCCGTAATTCAAACGGGTGCATGACTTGAATGTACGCTGTGCATTCAGCTAATGGAGTGAACGGGAAGTCAAGGGCGGGTGGGAGCATGTGATGAATCAGCAGACGTTGGAGATCGTTTCATTAAACACGTCTTTCAGGTTATTGATTGTCATCAGTATTCCTCCATCCAAGAATTGACGTATACTTTCTCTAAAATCAGGCCCTCACTCCACTCCAGCTGTTTGTACAATCTCATCCTGTGGTCTTTTTTTTCACTTTAAAAGCGCTGCCAAGCAGCAACTGAGTGGGATTTATGCGCATATCTGCAAAGAAATGGTTATGACAAGCTATTAAGTGCTGTATTGATTTGAAGTATGCAGATCCTGACAGCACCCATTTATGTGCTCTTCCTTCTTTTTGATTCGAGAGGAGGGAGTTACACAACCAGCATGCACTGTCATGCAAAAACAAACAAAACAAAAGGTGACAGTCATGGCTAACAGCAATTCTTCTCTTATTGAAGCATCATGAAGGGAAACAAAAAAATGTTAGACTCCCGCCTATCATCCGATGTGAAATTTGACACTTGATTGACATACAGAGCAGTCAGTCTTACGTCTGTTGCATGTCACCGTGTATATGTATGGGATCATGCAGTGATGCAAGGTACATCAACATATACCGCACGTATTAGGAATTTTAAATGTAATTAAAATAAATAAATAAATAAATAAATAGTTAATTTGGACTTGATCATTTTATAAGTAGCTCACATGCTGAAAAAGTGTGGGCGCATGTGGTCCAGCGAATTTATCTGAACAAATAAAGGCCTCTCTACAGTAGACAGCGCCACGCTAATAAAAGTATTCCTCCGTTTTTAACTGGCAACTGCCCGCTTTAGCCGCACCGCAGTCACGCTGTCGCCTGCTCAGACCAACGCTGTGACATCAGCTGCAAAGCCACGGTGTAAAAAGTAATTCTGTACCTATACCGTGCAGCAGCATGGCTCTGTTTTATTTAAAAAGTGACTTGAGCCAAAAGTGTCAGATTGCTGCGCTGAGGAGAGACCTGAAGATAGTCAAGAAAGCGATGGCATGGATGGTGTGAAAATGCGGGTGCTCATAACATCACTCCATCGCTATGTATGGACGACTGGCTGATATTTTCAGCTAAATATTGTTGGATGGCAATGCTCGACTACATGTTTACTCTCAACGGCCACAATATTTGGTACACAATTGAATGGATCCAATTCTATTTACCTGGAGTGGAATATTGTTACAATAATAGATATAAAAACAATAACAAAAAGTTAGCATTAGAAATTATTGTTCTGTTTAACCCCAAAAAATAAATCAGTACCTTAATTAATTAATCAGCAATTTTATTTTTTACTTTGCCCGTATCAACCTCAATTTCAGCTACCGCTGTGAGTTTTACTTTCTTTAACATGGTGTAGATAAAAGCACTTTGTAAGTGCCATTTACCATTTCAGCGCCGTTTACGGCATTTTAAAATTTGTCTTTATTTATTTCTTTTTTTTTTATCATAGTTGGTGGACAATAGTCTCGGCCAATTCTGGTGTGATCATTTAGCTGTGAAAGTGAAAACAAACAAGCAAACAAACAAAAACATTAACTTATGGCCAACAGATTGTAGCGCTAGATATGGAAATGCAACTATTCTAATCAGCTTGTGGTTGATCATAGTATTTGTCAAATAATATACAACACAGAGCGTCACAAAAGCGACAAAAGATGATGGAGATCATTTGAATTTCGAATCAGAAGTGAGGATGTATTGTATGTACATTCATACACACATGCACACACATACATAGGCAAACACACACGCACGCTACTAATTACTACTACGACTAAATAACGTCCAAATATATTAAAAGTGTTACGTGGTTTATTTTGTGGAGAAGAGAGCATACACCATTTTTGTTCGAAAGGTCAAGTTTGAGACTTCCTACTAAGTTTTGGTGGTGGAATCGCCAAATCCTTGTGTAATGATTAGAGTAAAACAAGAATTCCTAAACTGTGAATACAGTTAAAAGTACATTAAAAATGTAATGGAGGGATGCTATAATAACACGCACATTTACATTGTTCCCCCCCCCCCCCTACTTAGTGTGTAAACATAAAAATGTTTGCATGATTAAAATGAAATGTTGGGTTAGTAGGCACCTTTCGGAAACTTTTTCCAACATTCAAATGCCGCACTCATTTGAATGTTGGAAAAAGTTTACGAAAGGTGCAATATCTCAAAACAGAATGGCCTAAAAGTAAACATATCAAAGGTACATGCCGCATTATGGGTCCATTTCCCAGAAATGAAGATATCAGTATCACAACCTCAGCATCAGCTGAATAGATTTGATCCTGAAAGCAACCTTTATTATTCATCAAACAAATGTAGGGAAACTGACTCTCCTGTATGAATAATACATTTCCATTAAGCGGTTCAGATGACGCGTTCTAAAATGTGCCATGATGAGACATCTTGCCCCAAAGTGCTGTAATCAGATGCTACAGTGACGCATCTGTTCTTTGAATGCGGCAGAGCTTTTTGTGTGCGACTCTTGCCTGAGGTCACACTGCCCTGCATTGCAATTGCTGATTGTGATATGATGATAACTCCTTTGAAGTTCCAGACAATTCATTAGATTCACATGATCCAATACAACCCGAAACATTCTGACAGATCATTGCTGTTGCACTCCAGACTTGCACATAGCACGAATGAGCATTGAAAAGTCAGTGTCACATAGCAAGATTTTTTTTCACCAAAGATCCCAGCACCTACTTGGCCCTGATGTAAGCAGTGAGTAACACAAAGTTATTAAAAACTTACTACCTCACAGAAAACCAACCAATCCTTTATTAGACGCACTGTATTTCCTGAAATAGTGGCAGTCCCTTGAATATATCCTGTACCCCAATGAAGAAAAAAAGTCTGGAAAACACAGAACCCCTAGAGTAGGCGTTCGTGCAAATATCCTTATAAAACTGCAAATCCTAAGCATCAAATGCTGTGCCCTCACGTGTACACACCCCGTCACTGGTGAAGTGTAAATCAGGTGGTCTTAGTTTCCGTGCAGACGTTAGCATCATTAATTGGAGGCACAAAGACGGTTTGTAAAAATCAAAGCAGCTTTGTGAAAGACGGCCATCAGCAGAAGGCATCTTGAAGCCCACGCTGATGCCCAGCTTCTTGCGGTTGGTGCAGT